GCATATAAACGCAGCTAATTAAAATACCGGTAGTACTGACATAGCCATGTTGCAATGTACGAAAAAGAATTTGTATAAGTTTCGAGTAACTTTTTTCCTTGTGAGTTAACATGACAGAGACAGATGCAAAAAAGTTATCAGCAATGAAAGATTATGCAGATCATGATTGCAAATCATCATCATGCGATCAATATGCTTTAGATGACAGCTAGATAAAAAAAACATGCGTATTTGTGCAAGTATGAATGCCTTCAAGAAGAAATCAAAAACCTCCTTTACCTCAGTCACCTCCTGATAAGCAAAATAATGAATTTTGTAGACAGCATTAATTGTCGATGAGTCGTTGAGGAGTAGAAATTGGAGAAAATGCTGACATTTTGTAATTAATATATTGCTTTGATTTATGTCTCCATGGAAAGATATTACATGGTTTTTTAAATCATTATGAAGTGAGTTACTTTGTTCTCTGATGAATTTTGAATAACATTTTTGTGTTTCTAAACATTTTATTAGTGGTAAGCCTAAATAAAATATTTCTTTCCCTGAGACATTCTAAGCTTTTACTCAGTCTGTTATTATTTACATTCTTATCTGAGAGATTTGCAGATTCATTATATTTACTCAATGGATCATCATGCTTCTAGTATATCACATTGATATTCTACAATCAGCCACTTGTAACAAAAGCTCTCCCTCACTTTCTTCAGTTATCCCCAGTGATACCAGCAATTCTGGCCAAACTGGGCCATACAGTAGTTATACACAAACACACAAGGAGCTTGCAGAAACCGAATAAAAGTAAAAAAAACTCTTATTTTAATTAATTAATTCCCATTTTCGTATGCATGTCAAAGATCTGATTGCAATATTATGACAGACTTTTGCAAAATGTTTTCTCCACAAAGGCCATCATAAAATCCTAAAATCAGGAAAATTCAAATATTTTACTAAAATATACAGCAAAATTGAAAATTATTTACTAGTTATATTGCAGTAAGACACAATCTAAAATACATACCCTGATAAAAGGTACTCTTCCTGGTGCAACACTAACTCGACTTGGACGACCTCTTTTTGAAATACTTGCAGCTCCTCCGCCGACTGGAGCCTGAAAATATAAAGTAATGACAAATTTACTCTTGAAATATACAATATTTATATTTTGAAAATGTTTTGAAATGGAGCATATTTATAAACTTGCTATGTATGGGTATAATCACAGAGGTCTAATGATTTATTTGTGCAGTTGGTTGGTGTGCTCAATACATGGACGTCTATGGAGCAGAATTACTAAGTCCTTATCCTTGCTCAAAATAATGGAAATCATATAATTGAAACAGTTTGGTAATGTTAGCATAAATCATTGCATTTAATCATCCACGCTCTGAAAACTCCAGTTGCTTCAGCAACCAACCACATAAGTAAATCGTCAGACCCCTGTTGGTACAATATTATATTATGTTTGTAAACATTCTTTACTCAAGCACAAACAAAATAGTAACAATTTACAAAGACATTGGGTTTAATTTACATGAAAACGTACTTTATTCACTGTAGGTTAGAATCACCCAAAGTTGACTTTGTACAAGTATTGAAATAATTTCGCTCAGCTTAGAAGTAGAACGCTCGTTGCCATGATCACAATGTATTGCCCGATGGATACACCATAAGCACTACTAGCTCAACTGAGCTGGAGAAAATCCATTCCGCGAGTAACTAATATCTTGATACTAGACATTAAAATATCTGGTACATGTAAAAACAAACTCGTACAACAGACTGTTTGTGTTTTCTCCTCCATTGATCTCAGACACAACCAAGGTTACAGGTTGAGCTACAACCGGATTAGTGACTGAGCGCGTTGAGCGGGATGTGTTGACAAGTACACACAAGCAGTTAAATTCAGTATATAAAAAATATACATAAATGAGCTATGACATACCTGTTTTCCTTTTCCTCCACCCTTAACCGGCATATCTATATTTAAGAAAGCCCCTAATCGAAATATATATTGTAAATTTGAGCAAATTACAACGAAGTTGAGTTGAAACCCACCGTTGCGTAGATTGTTGTTAAGGATACTACGCATGCGCAAGTATTCTCCTTGTTCCAGAGAATGTAGGCAGTGCAAAAAATAAATGTCATAAAGCTAATGTAAAGAATAGTTTATATAGTCATAAGCATATTATTAGTAAAATATTTTCGTTTGCGTTAAACGATTTAGATTATTTTAAACAATTGAACAGTGTCTTAAAATATATCTTAGAACGAGCCAAGTATAACCCTTGACCTTATAATACCCAGCATGCTGATCACTGAAAATGGCGAGCTTGAATATATAGAATCATGAGTGTATTGAATCCAACGTAGGCTTTGTTGCCCGATTTTATCGTTTGGGAATTCACAATGGCTGAAACAGATGGTGTATTAGTCGAACCTAGCATCCACGATCGAAACACAGTAAGTACATCTGTTTAGTTTTTAAGTCAATACACTGATGTATCATGTCGAACTGATCCCTGCCCGCTTGTAATGCATCTCAAAAAAAGTCATTGATATCATATTGTATTACTAATGCTGTTAATAATATTTGATGATTTCAACTCATTTTTTTTACACATTTGAATATGTACATCCAGACATATGTGGGTCATTTTGTGCAATTTTACCAGATGTGATTGATAATTAATTGTACGTGAAGACATGTATATATAATATATACATACATTTTTTTTTCATAGTTCAGAATTTTACTACTATTGTTAAAATTATATTTTATGTATCAGTTTCATAATTTGTTTATTTCTGTGTAGACTTGTGTTAAAGCCAATAAGCTGTTGGTAAAAACTTTACAAAGCATTGATTGTCAGTAAAATTACTTACCAACCAGACAATTTCAGGTGTTGGTGTACAAAATGTTGATGAGGGGTGCAGAGTTTTGTATATATTATGTCGCCATTTTGAATAATATGCTTGTAAATAATCATGGTTTTTACAATTTTTCTAACTCCTAGACCCAAACCATTGAAATATACAGACCCATGATCCCAGCTTAATTTTCAACCTCAAGACTGTATAATCTAAAAATGCATGTATTGCACTTGTGTCTTTTGGCTCCTATTAAC